ATCGAAGAGGTCCAGAGGGGGTGGGATAGGAAACGGCTGACCGATAGGAACATTACGCAACGCATTCTCGATCCCGGGGAACGACCCCTCGAGGCCCAGTCCCAGTGGAAAGGGGACGGCAGGTCAGTGTTCACCACCTATTCATACGACACAAACATATTGTATATGAGAAATGCATTTATAAGAAATTATTATTTTAATTTATATAAACATTTTATATTTGAATAATTAATAATTAATTATCATGAGTATTAATTAATTAATAGTTAATTATTAATTATAAGTCTTATAAAATAAAATTTAATTATCTAATTATAAGAAACTCGCTGGATGAGCCAATATTAATAAAAATAATTATAGCTATATTATAATAGTAATCATAATTACAATATTACAGTATTTAACATGAATTACATTATTAGACAAATTTACTCAAATAATAAATTTAAAAATGAATTTTTTAATTATTAGCCACCTAATTATAATACAATTAATTCATATAATCACCAACAAAGTAGTCAGACATTTGTCACCCATTGACTTTAGCACCAACAAACTAAGTGAGAGAGCTCCTTTTATATGTAATTATTATAAAATATTAATTTTTTATTAATTTTTTAAAAAGGCATTTAAATATGTTGTAACTAAATAAAATAAAAATTTACTAATTATAATTTTAATTACATATAATCAGCTCTCTCAGAAATACATTTATAAGAAATTTATTATTTTATATTTAAATTCTGTATCGCCTTAAAAATTTAAACTTTTAAGTTTACTTTTTAGTAAACTTAAAATAGACCCAGAACCATTACAGTTTACTAACTAACATTATACGCAATATTATAATAATAAGGATGTTTGTTCAGATACCATTATTAACTTAAATTATGTACAATATTTTTATATTAACCAATATTAAAATATTACAGTATTAACATGTATTGCACAATTAATTATAAGTGTTATAAAATAATATTTAAATATCAAACCTATTGACTCTACTACCAATGTTAATAAAAAAATATATGCTATATTATTATAGTCACCATAATTAAAATATTACAGTATTTAACATACTTTCCACTATTAGACAAACTTTACTTACATAATAAGTATTACAATTAAATTTATTATTAGCCAGTTAGAATAACATAATCAATTACAAATTAGTGAGACATGTCTTTCCTCTTGACTAACCACTCCACTTATGATCGCACCGTTAGGTTTGTGCTGAAGAAGGTGGCGGACGACCCGTCGTCGAGGGCGTGGATGTCGAGCATAAGGAACGCCCAGAAGGACCGGAATCGGGCCAAAGCCATGGGCGCAGACATGCAGAGCACC